TAATCAGTGCCACCACTATTGCAGAAGGCTTAGAGTAACATCCCAGAATGGCCCAATTTGAGAGGCCAATTGCTTCAGGGGTATCACAGAGATTGGGTGAGTTTGGGGAAGAAACTCTGGAACCACTGGGTGAACTCATTTGGGCTGGAATTCAAGCCTCTTTTCAGATGGCCTGTAGGTGCCTGGGTACTCGAGCATAGGCCACAGAATTCTGGGGTGCTACTGGACCAGGAGAAAACAAAAAAAGCAGGCTGGACATTTTTAGTTCATTCTGCAAGGAGAATGAAGGCTTTTACTTTATTTGTCCTATTAATGGCTGTGGAGGAAGATTACACAATTAGAGTGACATAGCAGCATTTACAATGCTCTTTCCATTATGCAACCGGGTCTCTCTTATTTTTCAATGTCTATTAGAGATTATTTTTTTATTTATCAATATAACACTTACTTTTAAAAAGGTGCTATGTAGTATATTGAGATTTTAGACATAGCTTCCTTGGGGAGCTGACAACCTAGCAGGGAGACAGACAATAACCACACAATGTAATGAGTGCCATTAATACAAGTTAGTATAGGAATATATTAAGGGAGTGTATAAAATGTGCATTTTAACTCAGACAGAGTTAAGAGAAAGATGGAAAGAGACAAGGCTTCCTAAAGGTGATTTCTGTCCTGAATTTTAAGAAATGATTTTTCATAGACCAAGCATTCACTCTAACAGTATATTGCACTAAAAAATACTTCTTTTATATTAGTTAAATCCATGATGGTTTTCTACATGTTTCTAGATCCAAAAGAGTATCTGGATCTTTGTTCCACTGTCTGCCTACAAGCATATGCCAATATTGGGATGAATCACTAACAAAACAACTTCTTGAGATCTGTTCATCCTGGTTGGTTGACCTTAATACTTAACCTCATTCAGACCACATAGAATTATATTAGTGATCCAGCTACTATTTTTTTTCTCTCCTCCACAATTATATAAACCACTGACTCTTTGTTTCAGATACCTACTTATGAGGTCTAAAAAACCAATATCCTTTTGTAAGAATAACAAACATCTATAACCCAGTAAACTAGGAATGCTATTAACAGAAAGATCTCTGAACAGAAGAGTAAAACTCTAATTTCATCCTTCCATGTGTCATCTCTTTCCAGTCCTTCCCTGGGCCCCTGAGGTGGAGTCACTTGCTACAGGTTCATCTACACTTCCCAAAGCACCTTGTATATACTTCATATCAGATATTAGTGCTTACATCTGTTTTAACTACTTATAATTGTTTTAAGCATTAGCACTGTCTTTTTCAACATTTCATCTTTACTATTCCTGGTTCATATTAACATTTAGTAAATGTTTACTCAATGAATAAACATGAAGGAAGTATCTCTTTCTTAAGATATTTTTTAACTACTTCCAGAAGTGTTTTTGCAGGATGTCCTTATTTACTACTATCTATCTGCTTTTAGCTCTTTCATTTACAGATACATCCTACTATTTCTAATTTGGTCATTGTTCAGATGGGTATTTAGGAAATTATACCCTCTAGCGCCTCTCAAGACTATCAAGACTAACAAGGGCTTTCTGTCTACTGCTTTATGAAAGAATGGCCCCAAAATCCAACTGGACATGAAAGCCAACCAGATTGAACAGAGTCTTTCAAGAAAGAAACCTCCATTTGGATATGTAAGATTGAAATTATATGCAACATCTTAGTTGCAACTGGAACCACGTTCATTTGACAAATGCTTACCGAGCTTCTTTCTCTTTGAATTTTTGTTAAGTACCTTGTTTAACGGGACAAATAAAATGAAAAGCCCTTCCAGAAGATCACAATCCAGTGAGGGAGAAGAGAGGTACATAATTATTACTGCTTAAGTTTGTATGTAATGATGTTCTCAGTTCATATTTGTAATGTTCTGAGATCAATCTAGAAATTATTCTAATCTTAAGTATTCAACTTAAAGTTATTAGCATCATTTTGGAGGTGGGAAATCCAAATCAACATCACAGGGGAGTTTAACATTGACATTCTATAGAAAGCTATTTCTTTTTTATTCTACTCTGTTAGTGAAATCAGGAAATTTAACTTACAGCAATTGATACTCATATTTTGGTAGCTTTATAAAAGCATTCACCTAGAGTAATATCCTTTACTTTCTTCTACACACATGAAAGAGTCATGTAAATTGTGGAGGACGAATGTTTCTGTAGGCTTAATCAGAGTATTTCTTAAGCAAAAGTAAATATGCTTGGCAAGTCCCTTCTCATCTTGGGCATCAATGTCCCCAGCTATTATATCTGGGGGTAATCCTAGAAAACCACGAAGGAAGCATCCAGACTAAATAGAGTCTCTAAATTTATATCATTAGCCTAAAGTAGGACAGCCAGATATGGGACAAGACAAGTCATTCACCAGGAATTTATTTCTAAACTTTTACATGTGTCAGAAAGAATTCAGTTGAAAGGAAACCCACTGCAACAACCTTATTTGTGACATCTTGAAGTCTCTCCTATATTTTCACATATTAACCTGCCCATTTTAACTCTCTGGTAATGCACAAATGATAGCACAACAATTTTCAATATGCAACCCACTGCATCAGTCTTCTATTGAATTGAGAGTGAAAATCTGAGGCTTTGTTACTAAGTGTTAATAGCATCAAATGGATGACATAATCAATTCTCATGAAAAACACCTTGGATAAATGTGGTAAAAAATCCAAGAAAGATCACAGAGAAGGAAACTCAATTAGCCAATTTTATTTAGGTGAATCTCTGATAGGTGGTAAGAAAATTGTGGCTAAGCTAACTAAACACTGTTTGAGGCAATAAACCAGCCTAATCAGTTAATACTCTTGCAATTCAATATGTCAAAAACAAATTCCTTTTTTCTCTTTTTGAAATATGCCATTCCAGTGAATTTTCATCTTGTGTTTATAAAATGTGCAGTTTCCCATTTACCTTATAAGTAACAATGAAAAGCTGTATACAAAAAATAACTACATAATTTCCTTTGTTACTTCATAGACAGAAATGTAATAACTTAAGTTTTAAATTTGTAATATGGATAGAATTTGATTTTGAATAAGCATGCCAAGTATCTTAAATTCCAGAAATTGTTACATTCTCTTTCTCCCCGTTGCCATTTCTTGTTCTTATAAATGCTTACAAAATTGAATTCCCAGATGTTTCTATTTTCAGTCTTAAATATCACTTCTTTTATTTTCATGACAGTAACTTAATAATGGGACACCACATTTTAAAAATGTAGATTGAAATATCCTATCACACTTCATAGTTGGTCCTGCAGTTCATTGAGAAATAGCTCTAAAGCCTTAAACAAGGCCTTTATTTTGTGTTTTAAAAAGTGTCATAAGGAGTTAATAGGACACAGCTGTACTGGCTCTTTCTAATAAGCAGCTTCTGTCGCTTTGGTCACCACAGGTGTCTCTGTAACCTGCAAACTCTTATTACTAGTGTATCAAAGTTGTGCTACTTAACAGACTTCTTTAGTAAAACATAACAAAGCAATTACATGGCTGTTGATTGCCAGTCATAAAAAAAACCCTCAAACACTGTGTTTCAAAAGAAACTACACTGCAATTTTTTGTCATTGTAAAATAAAAGGAACTAAGGAATTAAATGGAGGATAGAACAAAATAACAGCAGGTAGCCTGCTGAACTTAGCCTCTACAGATGGTTTAGAAATAGTGTTTCCTTCTCCATCAAGTTGTGGATAAAAGCAGAGGAGGAGATTCCTTACTGCCAGTGAATGGCAAAAGATTTAGCCAAGTCTCCAGTCTATGTATTTTGTCTCATGAAAGACCTTCGATGCTGCATTTTTATCTGTTTTTGGCACTGCTTTTCATCACCTTTAACTGAGTGTGAATAATAACCTGATTTAATTTAAACAAATACAGGTGCTAAAGGTTCTTTATTTATGTATAACAGGGAACATTGCCAAGGCAGAACGAAGTCATCCTATAAAATTTCCTAACCATTTGCTTAAAGAAATGAAGTATTAGATGAAGAAATTGCTTCAACACTGTTTTGCTTCACATTTAAAGAAAGGACCATCTTTCCTTTCAGATTCAGATTACATTAAAGTTTGAATGATGAGCAAAAATTCAGTGAGCCATAAAATAATAAAAAGACAAATAAAATGATTTCTAATTATTCTATAATCATTTAAATTAGGTAACTACAACAGACTTGCATTGAGATAAATTAATTTAATCTTCCTGTTCATAAATCAGCAGCCTGTGATTATGATTACACACCCAAAGTAGTAGCATCATGGGATGATTTTATGGCCACTTGTGTAATTAAGCATGATGAAATATATTTCAGATGGGAAACTCAAATAGGCAAAATATGAAGAATTATTCATCACTTACAGATATTATGATTAACAAACTAAGTAAATTTATCCTGACAGATAGGAAAGGGATTTTTTTTCCTATTGAGAATATGATGTGTGCAAAAGAATGTGTCCAATAAAATGATTACATCAATTAGCATATGCTAGAGTTAAGCTATTACCAACTCCACTGGACTGGGCCAGAATGTCCTGCCTTCTGTACGGGAGTTATTAAAAAATAAATTTACTACTGGCATTATATGTTAGACTTACATTGCCTCTTCTGAACATTATTAAAAACAAAGATTTTCTCTAAATGTTCAACAATATGTTAGTACCTTAGGATATATAGTACAAAGAAATATACTGTAGCTGTCTTATTGCAAAAAGACAAGAATGATGTATGTTGATTTTGGTTTTCAGGTTATTAAATTTAAGAAATCTTTTATAAGTTAAGGTATATTTTCACTGTTGTAAATGACTACATATGTTAGTTACAAGTAGCTTTTATCTAATTAAATGCAATGGTAGATAATGCTGAGCTTAAAAATGTCTAAGATGATAAGAAACCAATATAATGATGACTTTTTAAAAGAAATTAAAGCCCAACTTACAACTTAGGAGTAACAATATTACCTTGCTCTATTGGCGTCCTTTGTCAGATCCCAAGCCCAGGTTATAAAATTTTGACTCAGGTAAGAGACAATAGACTCAGCACACAGCATTTGTGAGCAAAACACGTTGGTTAATACACTTTCATCATGGTGGAGGTAGATAGCAAGAAGCTTTCTCTGAAAAGAGAAGAAAAGACTGATGAGTTAAAATATCCACTAATGTAAGATTTCTTGAATTTTGCAAAGGATTAATCAGTCAATATAAACAACAAAGACAAAAATTAAACGCTATTCTCTAAAACAACACCTGACACTTCGAGTTCCTAACGCTTTTACTAATATGAATAAATTTTGCTTCCTTATACTCTAAAGAGGCTAGGATGATTATATTCCACTTTATAGACTGATGCTACAGATTCCTGTTCACTATGCAAGCCTATCTCATGTAGAAATTGCAATAGAATTCCATTTTCTTTAAATAAAATAGATTTACTGTTCATGTTTAGTACATACTTACACATATGTACTAAACATGTAGGGGAAAATTAACTTTGAACTATTTAACTATATAGAGAAAAAATACTAATTAAGATTGGATGTCAAAATCTTATACATTTTTTATGTTTTTAATCTGAACACTGAATAGCCTCTTCTACTTGAAAGGAAAAGGTTTAAAATGAAGTTCTGTTTCAGTTCCCTAGGTAATTTCAAAGCTCTTGATGTGTTCCCAAACTAAAGTCTGTACTTAAGAGCATGTAACATCTAGGTGCCATTTGAAAGAATGATAGAAAAATGTTTAGATTTCAGAAAATGTCTGATGTAGTTTCTCATTTGGTAAATTATTCTTTCCCTTTTGCCTGATAAAACTTGCTTTCAATAAATGACATTTATTCTCTCAAAAGTATCCTCTGTCATAGTTGGATATTCAATAAAATAAATGAAATTAAAAACTGAAATTGAGCAACAATTTGCAACATGTCATCTCTAACAATAATGACGATGATGATTAAAGAGCTGAAAATTCTTATTGAGTAACTTCTTGGTGCTATCTTGTGGAAGCTGAGTTTAAGTACAATTAGTTACCAGGAAATAGAAAGATAAAATTTTATGGTAAAAACAATACACAAACCAATCTGAAATTCTGGCAAAGGAAAATTTCAAGGAAGCTTAGGGTGTCTCCCTTCAAATTAAATAAGGATGTGATGATAATAAAGAAAAACTTGCTGTATGGGAATCTAAACAAATGAGGTGTATTTATAGAAAAATAAAAGGCTCATGCTGGTGAAAGCTTAATGAAGCCTGATGCTTGGAATTATCCTGATAAATAATCCAAATTATTTAATAATAATTAAATAGTAATTATTAGAATAATTTCTTCAAAAGTAAAGTTTGTGTTCGATGAGGGTAGCCAGAGGTTTCAAAACATCTATTTCAAAACATCTATTATGAATAAGAGGCACTTCTTTTAGTTACCACACCCATTATCTATTTTAATTCCCAAAATAAACAAGTAAAATAGTATTCTTAACTTTACTAACATAAGAGGAAATTGCAGTTTCAAAAACTGAATTGTCCTAAATTGCAGAAGATGTAAGTAGTACTTCTGGGACTGGAACCCAGCCTGACTGACTCCAAGCTTAGTGTCCTTTGATACTACAGCAGGAGCAGAGAAATCATCCACACTGGAGTCAATGCTTGGAGTGCTCACAGCATATGAAGATGCCAGAGTGTCCATTAAAGTCCTTCTGGGGCCTCAGAGACAGCATGTAATGGGAATAAGGACAGTATTCTTGAGCATAAGTAACTTAGCTACTCCAACAATAGCTGCACCCATGTGTCAATTCACTCATTCATTCATTCAACAAGCATTTGTTGAAATACATTTTTTTTTTGGAAGGCCCAGAAGGAAGCAGTAGTGATAAAATGGTGACAAGAAAGATTCAGGTTTTCTTCATCTAACTTGATGTCTTCAGGTAACAGTAGCTGGCTTCTGGCAAGTTTGTAATCAGATACATTATTAGACAGATACTTATCAGTAAATTCTTACTCATACTATAAGACTCAAAGTAAATGTCTCTCTTTATAAGACCTTCCCCGAGTTCCTTATGCAGAGTTAAGAGCTTCCTTTTCTGGATCTCTGTCTCTTCCCACTAGTATTGTAATTGTTTACCTGTTTCCCCTCTAGATGAAGTCTCTCAAGGTAAGGACTGGGTCTCTTTCAGTTTTCTTTGCATCCCTAAGCTAGCATAAGTCCCAGAATGCTTGAGGAAAGAAATTGAATGCTGATACCAACCACAGCCCTCTGGCAAAAAAAGATACCAAATGGCAGCAGCAATGCCAAATAACTTTTAGTAAACAAATCTAGAAATCTGCTGCTTTAAGGAAAGGACCGTGAACCTGGCAGCACTAACAAATTCAAAGCTCCTCTTTTTTAGGATCTCTGTAGCTGAATAGACATAGGGATGTCAACCTCTAATTCTGCTTGATCGTATCTCAGCAACTACATTTAATGAGACTGGGAACAAGAGAGCTGTCCTCTTTTAAAGCAGCATATTTCTAACCAAACAATGGCAATGGTTGAATCTTTAAAATGCCCATTTCTGTCAAGAACACTGCAATTGAACATTTAGACTTTGGGAAAGAGATTAGCCATTCACATTACTATCTCACTGATTTAATTTAAATGCTCTTCGAAACCAAACACACATGTGCTGAAGAGGCTACTAAAAAACCCAACACACAGAGTTCCCTATAAGTGCAGCCGACAGTGTTGACTGAAACTAAACTTGGAAATCCAGGGCAATAATGCACAATATCAAGCAATAAAACAGCATCTCTTTGGCAATATTTAATTTAAAAAAGAAGAAAGAGGCAGGCGAAGATCAGGCACTGTCTGTTTTGGAGGATCAACCATTCTGCATTTCAAAGCACTGGTCCCTGCAATATCCAGGTTACTGTGCTAGAATCTCGACTATTATATCGCAGTTGTGAGAGGGAGGGCAAAGATGTGTTTACTCAGTGATTAGGCCCTTAGAATAAGCCTCTAGCTCCTAGAGAGACAGCTCACCACTTATTCATTTGGGCCAATTCACAAAGCCTAGGAAGATTAAACATCCATGCTGAGAAGACAAGCGAATGCAGACGGTGAAAAAGAAATAAAAATTCTTTAAAAACTCTGAGATGACTTCATTATTTTCCACAAGGAAACTTTAGGAAAGTGTTTAGTTAGAGAAAAACCCACATTGACCTCTCTCTAAACCCTTAATCTTTCCTTTGTGGTGGCATTGCTTTGTGGTAAGCGACTGGCTCGCCTCGCCCCTCTTTTCACTAGAAGCTGAGAGAAAAAAGACTCTGGAGAAACAGTTTTCGTTCCAGGGACACAAACCCCTGACACTGTTAAACATGAGATGCCCGGAAAACACACTTGAAAAATTCTCACTTTAAGCTCTAAACTGTGAGAAAGGGGATGATAAAAAGAGTGATGAGAAGATCTTCAGTCTGGGGATACTCCTATAGTAGCTTTCAAAGGGGAAACTGAATTAAGAGAATCTTTGCTCCCTAACATAATAAGCTTTCAACAAAAAATTTTCTGCTATTTTGACAGTAATAATAAGAAAAATATAAAGATTCTTTATAACATGCAAATGCTACTAAATCTGGGCTACATAAATCTCTGACTAAATTATAGACATGACTAATGAGCCCCAGGCTCAGATTTCTGATTATTTTATTGAGCTCAATTAAACACAGGCCCTCACAGTGAGAACTGGGTTCAGTATATCAGAAAACTGCTTTTGTGAAGAAAAGGCATCTAGTAGATAGAAAAAGCATAAGAAAATGTTTTGTTTTCCATTATTATAACCATTTTTCCCTCTGGCCCATTAATAATTTAGTTCAATAACATTTACGGAGTGCCTATGTGTTAGGAATTCAGAATATAAAGATGAATAAAACAAAATTCCCTGGTGCTTAAAGAGTAGGAGAGATGGTGTAAGGGGAAGCAAAGATTTAATTGCAGTACCATATGATAAGTGATAAGATTAGGGCATTAAAAAAACTATTTCATTGGTCCTTTCTAATTTGGCAGAGAGGGTGTAACTCTGGTAGATAACAAAGGCAGGCAGGCAGCTCAGCTACTCTCCTCAGACTCCCTCTTTGTAATCCAGGTTTTGATAACACAAGGCAAGTCTCCAAGCTTTAAAGTAACAGAAAGCTCTGTGCTAAACCCAATTTTGCCGCTTATCAGCAGTGAGACTGTGGGGCAAGATGTGTTGAAAGGATTGTGGATAAAGTAGGCAAAGTACCTATTACAACGCTTGGTCCATAGTAGGTGCTGAATGAAATGTGGCTGTTAGGATGAAGATTCCAGAACTATCCATTCAAAATAAAGGATTTAAAAGCAGTTTCAAGAGAAATGATAGCCATGAAAACATTACTCAGCTCATTCATTTCTTCTCCTGGCAATATGTTTGGGATGCTTAATTATGCCCCTGCCTTTAGGGCTTCACTAATCTTCACATTCAAATCCAGGAGCTAAGGTACTAGGTTGATGCTAAGGAAATGCCAAGCTGACAGAAACCAATGTGACTCAGCCTTGAACTACAGTAGCTATTGTATTTAAACACTTAACATCACAGAATTGTAGAACATTAGAGCCAGCTTTGTCTCGAAATAAGCCAGGCACCAAGAAGACACTCAGAAAATATTTGCTGATGGACTGAAAAGCAAGTTGTCTGGATTCTTTTAGAGTATCTGATTAATCTGTGTGTTCAATGATTTTAAAGTTGATATGACAAATAATTTCTAGAAATGGTAATTCAGTTTTCTCAGTATAAGAATGAAAAGAAATTAAAAGATAATTTCCTATGTTTACATTGGGACCTGATTCTATTTGTTTCCCTTTTCTATCATCATCATCATCACCATATTATTCAGAATCATCATCATTATTATTCGGTTTTAAGTGTGGGGATGGTTTATTGATACCAATACCTGATATGATGATAAAATGATAAACACTTATCATTTATGAAGATTTATCAATTATTAACATTTTGCCATATTTGTTCTACCATTACTTTTACACTTCTTTCCCTGAGACACTTAAACTTGGACACATGACATCCCCATCCTAAATACTTCAACATCTGTCTCCTAAGAAACAAGGACATTCCCTT